CTGGGCTGGAACTCGGTTATTGATCATTCTTTTTTCTTTTTCTTTTTTTTTTTTGGAGAGGTTTTCGCTATAGGGCGCATGCGCTCGCCAGAAAGACAGAGAGAGACAGAGAGACAGAAAGCGAGAAATCACACCCCAGGGGGGGATAGTCATGCTGTAATCCCTTCTCCTCCATTCTCCTCTCAGGATCTTGGGCACGCACGCACACACGCCCGGTGTGAGTTTTAAGCCACCGGGTCCGGGACGCAAACTGTGGTCGACTACGTGGGAGTCCAGCAACATAGCCAATACGCTAACTGCTGGTTCCCTTGATCATTCTTCACAGCCTGTGCTTTTAACCACCAGGCCGAGCTGCTGGGTTCTGCAAGATGTCTGGATGCTCCCCGGGCAGACCCGTAGCGGGAGAGCATTTGGAGCAGCGTGAGCAGCTTGGGCAAAGGCAGGAGGCAGGACCGAATTCTCGGCCGCCCTCTCTCCACCCAAGCTCGGCCCAGGGCCCACGCCCAGCAGGCCTGAATGCTTGTGCCAGATGCGGCTGGCCCACAGTCCCAGCCCCGGACCCCGCAGAAGCTGCAGTGACCAGCACTCATGCTTCCTTACCTGGGTAGAGCCACCCAGGCCGGGAGACAGCCAATGGGGCCCTCGCTCTTCCTGTGCCTGGCTTTTCAAAAACACAATTACTCGCCCTTCAGAGATGCTGTCAGTGTTGGTAAACTCCAGCCGCTAAACTGCATTACAGTGATCTCTCCAGAAACCTTTGCAGTTATTAATAGTTTATTGATCGCAGCCCATTGCTGATGAGAGGAGGCCTCCTCACCCCACCCCTGTGGGTCCCCGCTATCTGCAGAAGGCCTTCTACCCAGCATGCAGATCAATGCCACTCAATTCGGGAGAAAGGGAGTCTCTGGGCCGCTTAATCCACTTTAGAAGGATAACAGCGGAGGCGAAATCTCAGATGAGACATTGAGAAGAGCGGATTGGTCCATATCAAAGCTGTGACCAGGCAGCTGTTGGATCTGCAGATGCACCAGGAACTGGCCTGGGTGGGGAGGGGCCTGTGCCTGGTCACAAAACATACTAGCAATAGGGAACGCCGGCCAGGGGCGTACGGGGGTCTCTGTTATCTTCGCAACTTCTCTGTAATTCTAAGGTGACTCAATGAAATTTTAATTTTTTTTTAAAGGGAATGCGGCACTTAGGAGGAATAGAAAGGATGCCATTGTGGCCTTGGGGGGGGGGGGGGGGGGGGGGG